GACAGGCACCAAAACTACACAGAGAAACCCTGTCTCCAAAAAGAAAAAAGAGAAAAAGAGCTCCTTTATCAGCTAGTCCTATGCTATCCTTCCCTTCTTCAGGCCCTGGACAATTGCTACCAGGTCCTTTTACCTGAGTGCAGAAACAGCCCTAACTCTCTCTCTCATGCAGGAACGAAAGGCAACACACACGTACACAGCAATCACACTTTCCAATGTGATTTTCCCAGTTTCTCCATTCTCAGAATCTGGGCCGGCCTTATAATTTCTTTTGACCACAGATTAAAGCAGGAGTAATAAGACCAGTTTTGAGCCTATGTCTCACAGCCCTGCCTCTCTTTTACCCAGAGCCCTGCCCAGATGCCATGAGTTGGGTTTGTGTGCTAGAGGATGAGAGAATGAAGAGGCACCAGCCAATGGATAGGAGCAGAATAAATGTATATGTCAGGGAATACACGAGAGGATATCAAGACAGAAGAACTACCCAGCTGAGCATGTGCTAATAAATGACTGCAATTTAAGCTGCTGCTACTCCACTTACACAGACACAATACACACACACACACACACACACACACACACACACACACACACAGAAGTGAATACCCTTTATTCCTATCCTGCATCCTGTCCAAGGAAGGCCCAGTGGTACCTGTAACCCTAACCTTCACTTGGAAGGCCTAAGAGACCCTGTCATAGCACATTCCATGCATACTTGCTGTAGAGGTGCCACTCAGTTCCGGTTCTTGACCATGATGCTCTCTGGTGGGCTGAGAGCTGACAGCCTGCAGGTTAGGTGAGGGCATCGAAGAGCCACCAGGCGTCCTTGGGATGGCCCCAAAGCTGGCCTGTGGGGCTTGCTCTGAATTCTGCAACAGAGGAAATGGTAATAAAGCAGTTGCTTCTCCCAAGAGCTGACAAAGAGCAGCAGATATTTATGGGGCATCTCCTTCCGGCCTCAGCTCCTATTTCCAGGATCCTGGGAACCTTGCCTTGCTTCTGGCCATAGATAACGTTCACATACCGGGGTAGCTCATCAACAATATACTTGTCTATTTTAAGTCGTGAGTCCCTAGAATCTATTTGGTTTTGTTGTTGTTGTTACTGTTTTTGTTTTGTTTTGAGACAGGGTCTTATGTATCTCTCTCTAGCCTTGAACTCACTATGTAGGTAAGGATCTGCCTGCCTCTACTTCCTGAGTGTTAGGCTTACAGTCGTGTGTCGTCATGCCCAGTTTATATGGTATTAGAAATTGAACTCAGGGTTGTATTTATGTTAGACAAGAACTCTACCAACTGAGAGCTACATCCCAGCCTTCCAGGATGACCTCAAGTGCTTTAAAAACAAAAACAAAAACAAAAAACCATGCCCTGCCCAAGTTCCCTATCCATGTGCCTGTGTCTGGCTCTATAACCACTGCATATAGCTCTTTCCAGCAGTTTCTGCACAGATTCCATGGCTTCAGACCCACAGTCTGGGGTCTGTTCTATCCCATGGCTGACTCACTTCATCTCAGTAGAACTAGTTATCTTTCTCCCATACCTGACTTTACTGTTGACAATTAAGAGCCCTGTCATCATCCACCCCTGACTTCCTAAGCCTTCATCACCTCCCTCACATTCCAATCTGGTCACCCTCCAGTCTTTTACCCAGCTCAACATGTCACATGACCATTACAAAGACCTCAAAACCATGGCCTCCTAGGGAGCTGATGACAGAGTGCTGGGGTGGCCACAGGCCTGGCCGGCAGTCAGGTAGCTAGTGAGGGAACCCCAATAGTCTTAGCAGAGAGGCACGATTTTCAAGAGGTAGGAAGGGGCTTCTGGAAGGCTGGGTGGGCAGAAGTGGGCAGGCAGGCAGCACACAAAAGCAGGGACCTGAAGTAGACTGTGAGAACCCACCTCTCCTGGTGACTTTGGTGGCTGGGTGTCCTGGACAGGCCTGGGGTAGCCTGTTTGCCCTTGGTAGTCACTGTCAGAGATGCTGTGGCCTGGAGCACACGCAGAAGGTCCTGAAGTTGTAGGAGGAATTGCTGGGGACTCCACTGGGGCCGGGAAGCGGAGTGAAGTCCCTAGAGAACAAAGATATGGTGATGTCCAGAAAGAATCAGAAGTGTCCTGGTACTAGAAGAGGCCCGGAAGCTTTGGGATGTCTAGTCAACCTTAAATAACTCCAGAAGCTGACCTGATGTGGGACGAGTTCTTTAGAGGTGATAAGCATCACTGGGGAGGGGGCAGGAGGGAGAGGAGCTGGAGAAGACAGGAAAGGAGGCAAGGGGCATGGAGGGAGGACATGAGCCCAGGCACACTGTCAGTGGTCACTCCTCTCTGTCCCAAGGCTTTCTCCTCACTGCTGTCATCCCCAACTGACCCTTGCCATGTTCCCATCTCTGACCCTGCCACAGCCATTTCTATTTGAGAGAGCACTGTGGACTCCATGAATGAAGAGACCAACTTGGAAAGAAGGGAGGAAAAGAGAAAGAAAAGCAAACATGGTGTGTTCAAGATTGCCTTGGTTTTTCTTCCTGGATCTTCTCTTCAGGCCCAACTACCACCCCACCCCACCCCTGCCACATGACTCGGCAGGGTCATTAAGAGGAATTAAGGCGCAACTGGGCAGCTAGGTGTTGGGCTTGGAAACCTGGACGTTCTCAGAGAAACTGTGGGGAGGAAAAGAGAAATGAAAAGTGGGTGAGTGACTGGGTGTAGACTCCACACTCTACACCATAGAGAAAGGAGGCAGGGGAGAAAGCGAGGACCAAGAAGGGAGGCAAACACCAGGGCTACAAAACTGACAGCAGGTGCCTTGTGCCGGGCACAGGGGAGGCATGGAACCCCAGCTACACACTCAACAGGCATCACCCGGTGGTGTCTATCTACTGCAGCCACACGTGAGGGATGTGGCCATTAACCCCACTGTGACAGACTAAGAAATTAAGGGATATGGCCAAAGGGACATAGGTAGTGAGTGGCTCAGCTGGATTAAACCCAGGTATATCCTATGACACAGCGTGATGGAGACAGAAAGTCAGGAGGTTACTACATGTAATT